TCATATCCAGGAATTACCTCCACCCTTTTGCTGAAGTCATATACTTAGATACCTGTTAGGTTTTGACTCTGTAATTCTTTACATCGACTAAGAGTTAACAATTTTACATTCTTTACAATGTTTCTACTTTTCAGATGACAGCATTTTATACAGTTTTTGCTGGCTACCCTATTCTTACCACTGTTTATTACACTGACAGTACCACATCAAGTTTGATTAGCACTGATTTTATATTTACTTTACAGGCCATTTAGGAAACCCAAAAAGCCCTAAAGGAAACATCAGTTTTCAAATACACCTGTCTCACTGATAACTACTCTGAACCACTCATCCAGTTCTTGACGCAGTGAATTTGTGGTTTATTGCATTATAAAGCAATTATTTTTCTGATTGTTAACATGTGGTGCTAAGTCAAGAACCAGAAAAAATTAGTACAGCTATGACGTTACCTTTGAACAGTCAAGTCTGTACTCTCATCTCAGTCTCCTTTGATGTGACCTGTTTTTTCCTTTAGATTTTGTTGACTGGCACTCATAATATTTGAATGCTTCATCTAAGTATTAGTCTTTCTTTTGCATCATTACTTTTCTTCATGTCATCATCTGCTCCTCCCCACAGGGGAAGGTATGAATGCCGTGGTGAAGATGGGTGTATCAAGGCTTGTGTGTGTACAGAAGGCTGTGCAAGCCTATGTGCAACAGGCAATTATCATTACCAAATAGTTGGTCAGCAAACAGGCTGGTTGCTGTTATACAGATGATGATTTGGATGAAGATATATAGTTGATTAAGTAAGCCTTCCATGATTCAAAACAGATTTGCTCAGAGCAGCTCATTCCTATCCTCTCAGATAATCACTGCTTAACTGAAGCTCAGTAGCACTGAAACCAGTAGGCTTTAGGATGTCCCTGAGAAACTCTGTTGGCTCCCATGCTTCATTTCCATGTTCTCATTCCTGCTATAAGACCTCTTGGAAAATTTACTGGCTTATCAACCAGTAAATAAAACCCTTTCTTTTACTATTACTGCCGTGACTGACTCACAGTCAGCAAAATGCAAGATTTCACTGCGGATCTGCTTGCACACCACTGTCACCGAGCAGAGTCTGAGCGAGCCCATGGTGCCACTGACTTCCCTATCTCCTGCTGCACCATGCAGCAGCAAGTTACTCTGGTAGAAAGTTTCATCTGTTATACACTCCGGGAAGTAAATACAGCTGTGGGTCTGTCCTTGAAAGTGTCTGCTTCTGTATTTGAAAACATTGTCATGATTGTTTAAATAAGGTTTGCCAATGCCTGGTATTACTCTAGATAGCTTATGATTGCATGGGTCCCATTTTTACTTTTTAAATTTTGACCAGTTCTGCCTTCCTCTGGAATTTCCCTGGTCTGCCAGCATGTGTTTAATGTGTTTAAAATGAGCATTTCCACTTTTTCTTCTTCCTTTTTTTTTAATGTTTTCATTCTTAGTATGGTTATAACATAGATCTAGTAAACAGACTTCTGGGGGAGGGAAGTTTTGTCTTTCTAACTCTGACACTTTAAAACTTATTAACTTCGTAAGCCATGGGTTTACCCTCTCCTAGAGGGTTAGGGCCTCTCATTTAGAGCTGAAACAGAGCTTTTGCCCCTGCAAGTGAAAACACCAAGAGCAAGGGGTCAATGCATGGTGGAGCAGCTGTTCTTAGCACACATCCACTTGTCAATGAGAGGATCTGTCACGATTGCATGGGGATGATATTTGGCATTGTCATATGTGTTGCCCTGTAGGTATGAAAAAGATAATGCAAAGTGGCAAAGAATTCAGAACTGCTTACCCTGGGGGAATAACGTTTACAGACAATTCCTGTTCAACATGGAGAATTGAACTTTTAGAAAATACTAATCTTTTTTGTTACAAGAAAAAAACTCAGTTGTTCCTTGTTGGCATTGTTTCTTAGCTAGAAATTAGATTCTATGTTTTGCTTATTTCTAAATTATAAATTAATTTCACGCTGCACAAAGCCTCCAAGGGCACTACTGGACCTGTCAAATATATCCCTGTGGGTACATGAAGGCTCTCAGCAGTCAATGAGTAGATGAAACACATTCAGAAAAGTCCCTCTCAGTCAAGATTCTTTCTGAATTATTTGGGTTTTTTTCTCTTCAGGTTCACATGCATTACTCTTCATCTTTATTCTTTATCTTCTGAACCTGAATAGCCATCTTTCTTTTTGACAATACTGCTAAGTTCATTTTAAGTGGGTCTTTGTTGTTGTTGGGCTGGGGTTTTTTCCCTGTTCTGATTTCTTGCTTTGTTGGACATCTTGTACTCTTGTGGAGATTGATCTTATACAACTGTACATTATTTGGCAGAGATTTAGTACTATGTTTCTTTTCCAAGTAAATCTGATAAAATCAGAACGTTTTACTGTAAGTATGGCAAATTATGCTCAAAAATATTTTCCAAGGGAAAAAATGGAAATATAAGACTGACATTATTTGCAAATCAACTGCTACTTTTATAATTTGCAGGAAACTTATAATTATCCCAGAAATCAGTTATGTGTCATCCATGGCATGGAAGGTGCTGCTTATGCTGTTATAGGTTTGACCAGCTAGAGTATCTTCTCTGACAACTACTGCATGCACTTCAGTTCACAGTGGAATTAATACATCTAATATTTTTATAAGGAGATCTAATAATGAAAGCTGGAAGTAGTACATTATTTTCACTTTCGGAGATGACACCACCTGTGAAGTAAAAGACTTAAGTAAAATCACAGAATCACAGAATATTCTTAAGTTGGAAGGGACCTACAAGAATCATTTAGTCCAACTATTACCAAGAATGATAAAAGGTCATGGCAATGGATACACTGGTGTTATTTGTTTGCACCACTTAATAACATACAGAATATTGTAGCATCTTTGTGAAATATAAAATATGTCTCAAAAGACATTTTTCATGCAGATGTAATCAGCAACACAGTTAACACAGAAGGTCTGTAAAAACATTTTTTGGAAACGGTGTAAAAAGGAGAAGCGCACTAAATTACAGGAAAAAGAGCCATTCTCTTCTGAATTCGCTGAAACAAAAGAAACACTTCCCAAGTTAAATTAACACCATTAAAATAACTTGGTAACTGTCACAGATATTTAAACCTGCAGATTACAGTGAAATGTGACACTTCGGGTAGCTCTGACAGAACTTTCTATTATCAGCCAGATCAGCCTTCTAATTTCATTTAGTACTGGTGGCTGAAGTTTTGGAAAGTACAACAAAATCAGTAATCACAGGTTCCAGACAAGAGAAAGGAGAGCAGAAATGGTGGGATACTGTAGTTACTTGCAGCAGCCTACTGTCAGCGGGAAATGCATCGTTTGTCTCTGCACCACAGCACAGGATTCTTAGAGAAATAGTCAGCCAGAACTGAGCTTCAGTTGGTGTCTTATGCTTTGCTGTGCCCTCAGTTAGAAAAATGCTGTCAGGTGCATTCAGCACATAGACTTCATACAGGGTGTGTCTTGTGCAGCCCTTTCCAAAGCTTCAGGTCTCTTTCTCACTGGAAGATAACCTCTGTTTCAGCTACAGTGTCCAGTATAATAATACACTTAGGATTGATTAAAAAACACCCATGCAGAAAGTACCCTTTTAATGAATAAGATGTAACAGATATGTGGGTTGCTTCCATTCAAAGAAGAACTGAAAAGTACAAATGAGGTCTATTCTTCAATTTAATCCCATGTATTTATAAAGAATGTATGTATGCTTTTGTTGACAACAGTAGAAAGTTGTAAGCACAAGAAGGTTTTTAAAGACAGCATGTCTGTGTCTCAGCAGGTGCATTTGCCAGCAGTTACCCAGGAAAGCTTCAACTGCTGGGCCCTGGAAGCAGCTTGTGCTCATGACCATTGATTTCCATTGTCTCTGGCAATCTTAATCTGAACTCCATTTTGTCTCCTTCTTCTGTTCAGCCTGAAAGAATAACTAACACGCCAGTCAGTTTTATTGACTATACACAGAAGGCATGACTGACAGAAACAAGCATCACTTTCCAGCAAGACAGTATTTTTATAGTAACTTGCTGAAAGTACTTACATTCTAATAAAACTGGAAATTTATTTAAAGAAAAGATATGCCTAAAGATTGTGTGTTCATTGATTTTTTTACCTTGTCCCATTTCCTTAATTTACGAAAAAGGTTTATTTTATTTACATCTGGAGGAAATAAAACCAATCCATTTTGTGTGTGAATGTATTGCTTCTTGCTGCAGGAAATCTGATCTTTGTTCTCCTGGACGCATTCTCTGGTCATTCCTCTCTTCTTTCTCACACAACAGAGCATTAATACTATCTGACAAAAGAAACTGCACTATGGAGCCTTTTCATAAGCATTATTTTTCTTGTCACTACGTGATCACTAGAGAAAGACTGTGCCGCCCGTAGTTGTTTGGATCGGTTTGTGAGGATTGCTTTTAATTAAGGAATGATACCAAATTTTACAAGGCAGTTATCCAATTCTTGTGTATGGAACAGTACCGGACCCCTACAATCAAGGAACTCGACGGAAGAACGTTTTTCTCGTGCCTTTTTCCTTACCTGCTCCCACATCTCTGTTTTAAAATACTTTACTATGGACTTTTATTTTGCAAACATTTACAGACCAGTGTAATAGACTAGTGTAACTTAATCCACTGCAACGGGGCCTTTGAAGCTGGAACAAAATCCGTGCCTGTGACGTTTATAGCCTGTTTGTTAGGGGCTTTTCGTTTCCACGGGGAAACGCTCGGCAGGTACGTTCGTTGCATAAGAAAGCCTTAATTTGACACTTAAAAACAAACCCACCCGCGCGTGCAAAACCCGCCCGCCTTTCCAGCTCCGAGGAGGAGCCCCAAGCCCCGCCCCTCCATCTGGCCCCGCCCCGCCCCCTCCCTCCCGCCGCCGCCGCGTCCCCCCCTCCCATTGGCGGCGGGGGCTGCGCGTGACCGAGCAGCGCGTGACGTAGGAGGAAGGAGCCGCCATTAGGGGCAGCGGGGCTGCGGCCGCGGGGCAGGTTTGGTTGTGTTCCTCCTCCGCCTCCATCCCCGCGGCTTCGGCGCTGCCTTTGCGTCCCCGCCAGTCCTCCTCCCGCTCCCCCGGGGCCTCCCGTCCCGGCGGGCGGCGGCGGCCCGTTGATGTGAGGCGCGGCTCGGCGGCGGGGCGCGGATGGCGACGGGGGCCAGTGCGGCGGCCGGGGGCCGCAGCTTCTCCTTCAAGGTGGTGCTGCTCGGGGAGGGCTGCGTGGGGAAAACCTCGCTGGTGCTGCGCTACTGCGAGAACAAGTTCAACGACAAGCACATCACCACCCTGCAGGTGCGGGCCGGGGCGGGCGGGGAGCGCCTGCCGGGGTGGCCGGGCCGGGGCGAGGGGGCAGTGCCGGTGAGGGGGGTCCCGTTGTTGTTCTCCCCTCACCTCGCGCACCTCCCAGGGCTGCCGGCCCGTGCCTTGTTTACAGCTTAGCAGAAGCCGGAGTAACCATCTCCGCTCGCTAATGGTGGCTGTCCCAGGCCGTGTTCTCTGGAAGCCAGTTTTCTAGTTCTTTTCACGCCTCATATCTAAGCTTTCAATACTTTAAGGCCTCGTTTCTACTCTGCGTGCTAACTGCTCCGTTTTTTCCAGTTATATATATATGAATGTCTTTATGTGAGTCCTGGGAGGTATGATGCGAAAGTAATTTTGTTATTGTAATCACTGTTAGTGGACTGATGACTAAGTGTTTCATATGTGCTGCATGTCTGTTAATCATAGTCTTCCCCATGTTCTCAAATCCCAACACTGGAGCTGCCTAAATGCTACTGTTTAAAGAGAAAAGCTTTCACTAAATGATTGACAAGATTAAGGCTTATGATTTAATAGCAGGAAAGATTCTTAAGGCTTACTTGCTTGTCACAATAGCTCCCTGAATTATGGTCAGATTATCAGTAGTACTGTCTGCTAATTTATAAAGAACTACAAAGTCATGTTCCACTTATGAAATGTGGCAGGGTGTCTGCTTGGAAACAATGTTTTCTTCATGACCTATTAGTGATGGATGGCATGGTACAGAATAAGCTGCTTATATTGTGCATGGTGTCAGAAAATATGTTTTGAACTTAGTGTAGGGGTGGTATGTTAAGTCTTTTGGGATGTGTCAGCTTGCTTAACCTTTTTATTTGTGGTTACACCAGTTGCACAGCATCTTTCTTAGCAGTTGTGAGCATGTCTATGGAAGTGTGGGGTTTAATACATACTGCTCTTAATATTTTTTTTTTTAAATAAGGAAACAAACCCTGCCACTTGGGCCACTAGTGGGTTTTGAACTACTTTTGAGGTTCTTAAAGTACAGAAGAAATAGTGGGTGATGCCAAAAAAAAAGAGCGTGAGGGTAGTTATGTGCTGTTCTCGTGCATTTAGGGGAAAATTCTTTAATTGGGTGTCTCAGAAGTATTTAATAGTGAAACTCCCTAAAACCAAAGAAGCATTATAGATGCACTAGAAACAATACAGTGAATGTTTCCTACACAGATAATGTTGTTCCAGTTTTGCTCTGAAGAGCTAAAAAGAATATGTTCTAAACTCTGTTACCCTGTGCTTATACTTAGCTTTTGGGTTAATCTGTTGGTAGGTTTACTAGGCATGGTGTGGTATTTATGGCAAGCTGACTGTAGCTCTGATGCCACAGAAGATATTTGGAATGCTACAGATGTGACTAATAGCTTGTAGGTGTCAGAGGTGCAGCTGAAGTGCAGCACTGAGCAAACAATCATTTAAAGTGCAACAAAATGATGTGTAGCTGAATTCTCATATCCCATGTAAAATGAATAGGGCTGAGTAGGTTGTTGTGATGTAGCGTGTTTGTTGTTTGGGTTTTTGTTCTTTAAATCTGTAGTGGAAACCCTTAAATTATAAGCAAAAATAGCTTGAAATACAGACTTGGGTCACAAATGTCATAAAATGCAACTTTAAATAGCTCCAGAATGCTGATAGGAAAATATCTGTAGATAGTGTGGCTCAAGAGCTTCTGGTTTTGACTGTCTGGAGGGGTGTGTGTAAAGGAGTGGAAGCATGTGCTCACATTCATACTGAGATTTTGTTTCTCCACTAGGTTACTAGGTTTCTGGTTGCTACCTGTGTCTTCTGACTGACTGCATGGTGTTTCTCAAGTAATTTGCTTTTCTGTTCTGAGCCTCCTTAGCCACTGATAACATCTTATTGATCATAAAATATAATGTCAGTTGCTGTTGAACCTTACCATGCATTATGTGCACTTGTGAAGTATTATCTTTTTTATTCCTATTTTCCTACATCGTACAGTTCTAGAACAAAGTTGAAGTACGTTCTTCCACTATTAAATTAAAATATCCCTTAAAAATAAGAGAAACTAGGTTATCTGGTTAAGCAATGAAGTATCACATTTGGAAAGCATCCTTGGTTTGTTTCCTTTTAAGATTAAAGGCTTAATCTGATAAGTTTGCTTTGTTTCATGGAAAGAGTTCAAAGTATTGCAACAAATTCGTTTTGTTCCAATAAAGCCAAAATTAGATAAATGCTTTGCTCCTGGTCCAGCAAAGGAGCGACAGTGATGAATCATATGAAAAGATGACTAGATATTGAGACAAGAGGCTCTCCATCCACAGTTTTCTCTGACTTAAAAAAGGAAAGTATTGCATAGTGCTTTATTCCAATATGCTTGCAACAAAAAGGGTGGTGAGACTGAAGCCTTCTGGAAACTTCACTTAGGATGTTACTCTACTGTGAAGTTATTCTGTGTACACCCAAACAGGAAAGCTTCTTTTGTGCAACAGAAGACTTTAACTAAAAGGGAGCAGTTTCTCTGCTCTCCACACCCCCCTTCACTAAATGCTAGCTGGAGTGAACTGGAACTTCCTTTGACGTGTTGCTGTAGTTGTGTCAGGTCATGTACTTAAGATATTGATGACCTGCAGATGGAAATTAAGGTAGCTACTGATTCACCTAAGAAAACATCTAGGTGGAAAAATGTGGAAAAGCTGATGCAGGAGAGGTAGGAGTTTTTGCAAGCAATGAATACAATCCATAACGTGGTTATCAGATCTTGTGGGACAGTTACAATTGGTTCCCATTGTTTGAAATATTGAGGTCAGTGCTCTCATATTGATATAATAATTCTAAACTATGAGTTGATACCAGGGGAACTGTGCTAGAATTACTCCAATAATAAACTTACTGTCAAACTTTTTTTTTTAAAATCAGGTAGATACTTCATATTAGTTAGTTACTCAATATAAATACAACTTCTAAGTACTGATCTCTCAAATGTGTGGAGGACTTTCAAAATATCCAACCCAAGAGAGCTGCTGATATAATCATACTATAGAGATCCCGATGGCTTTGCTGGACTTGCATAAACTGGAAAAGCTGTGTTGGCTTTCAGGATACTTGGGGACTGGCAGAAGACAATGCAAGGAAGTTCAGTGCTGTATGCAGTGTTTGTATCCTGGCCTGCTGCTGTTGAACATGAAACAGTCAGGGGCAGGTGACATACACCTGCTTTTATTCATCGACTTCAGGAGAATCTCTTCCAGCTGGGTCTCTCTTGTATTCTACTCAAGCCCCTTTGTCAGCTCCTAACAGGGCCTGGTGGACATGTGAAACTGAGCTCTTAGAAGTAAGAATTAAAAGAAAGAAAAGATTTCTTACAGACATATAGAAAAATTGGAATTTTAACTCTTATAAAAGCATTATCCTTATTCTTCTAAGTGCCTAAGTATTCTTCAGACCAGTCATAAGACACTAGAGTCAAAATACCAAAGTTAGTAGCTTCCTTCAAAGAGTTGTTTGCAATTACTTATCTTTGAATTAATGGTGGTTTTGTATATCCATGAGTTTTTGAAAGTCGTGCAAAAATTAATTTTCATAGTAATTAAATCAATACAGAAAGGAGTTACTGATTGTAAATCAAGCCACAACTTAAACTTAAAACCGCAGTACTGGATTTGGTAATTTTTTGGGAGATTAGAGAAAATGTTGAATCCTTTTTCATGTGTAATTACCCAACACTGCATAGACTGTTCTGATTTCAAAGGCTTTGACTTTGAAACTTGGCAGAATTTGGAATCTTGGCAACTGACTTTTTCCCTAAATTATCTCAAAATAGAAGCTGAGACTCTTCCGTACATGTTGGGTTCCCCAGATTTCTAAAAGCTGCATAGTCCTACTGTTCACATGGGTTGGGTTTTTTTGTTGTTGGTTTTTTTTTTCCTTACCTCAGAATGAGTGAAGGGGTGGATATGTGTTTGTTAAAAGGTGGATATTAGTTGATTTGTCTTCACTACGTTTGCCACTGTGGATGTAAAATGCATTTTACTAATAGTAAATGCATCAAACTTACCCATACCTATTAAGAGCAGAGCCTGTTAACTGTATTCTTCCAATATATGGACACAATAAAGAAGAATGAAGCATTTAATCTGTAATGTAGAACTGATGGTTTCTTGCAGCATGTTCACAGAGCTTTCTGCTCGTTACTAATGATGACTGCTTCAAATACTGGCTTCCAGTCTTGTTATCAGACAAACATGCTTGTAATCAGGGTATCTGCTATAGGATCCTTTTTTGACTATAGGTCTAAGACTTTAGATAGACTAAAACTTAATCAGTACAAATTCATCAAGTTTTAATACAGAGAGGAAGTACAATAGCCCAATAGTAAATACCTTGACACAGTCTCCTTGTGGTTATGGATATTTTTGCAGGAGATACTAAAAACCCTTACTTGAATGTAGGGGTCTTCTAGTACTGGGGTATATAGAAGATGGAATATTCTACTCTTAGTGGTAAAAGACAGTATTCCTATCAAAAGCTGTAGTACCTGAAGGATTGGTGATAGTGAAGCAAAATTTAAGTATGCAGATGAACCTACTCTGATATTTGCTCTGTCAGATAGGAAATATACTCGTGCTATTAATTGGGTCAGTGTAACTACAATGATATAAGTTCATGCATACTGAGTTCTCTGTGTTTTTAAATATAAATCCTGTTTATTTTTCTGGATTTTTCTGCCTTTTGGTGCCAAAATGTGGTTCTAAACCCTGTGTGTGAAATTCATATCATCTAAGCAGATTTGGATTGTTGGTGTTGTGACAAAAGCAAACAGTGCTCAGAAGAGCTTTTCCTTTGAGATTTGCAATAGAATATTGAGTACTATAGTACAGCAGACCAATAAAATATTGGCAGGTAAGCTTGATTCGTTGTGCCTAAACATATCTTCTCTCCATATGGCCCAGTTGTTGCTGAATTAAAACTTCTGAAGTCACCTCTAAGCCTTTGGCTTTTAAACTTAGAACAAATTATGATATGAGGACTTGGTACTGATCAGATAATCCTCAAGGACAGCTAGCTGAAAGCTATCAACTACTTTCTATAGAGGTTTTGATTAAAGAATTAAATCTTTTCTGATGTTTAAAATTTGCTATTCTGCTGTTAAGCTGTTTGTTTACAGGTTAGCTAGAGGATCAAATCCACTTAACATGCTGCCTGGAACTTTTTCCAGACTCTTATGTCCTCTTACTGTGTACTGAAGGGGTTAATTGTTTTGTTATGTTGAACACAATGGTTGTAGTGATGAGTTCTTTGCTATCTGCTCTTGGAAAATATCTGAGTGTTTTTCTTCTGGTATGTTCTCTCTCTGTCTATTCTGTTCATCAGACTTCATGGAAAGCTTTAGGTAGGTACATGGAAGGTACAATTTAAATATGAAAAGGGGCTTTTTTTTTAATCATCTCACCTTAGGTCGTACAGATGCCAGAGTTGATATTAGGAAAGTATCTGAAGAGCAGGAGCTGCTCTAGCGGTTGAGTGTGGGATGACTTTGACTGTAATACAGGCAGCACTCCAAACAGGCACTTGGACAGCAATTTAGGTTGCTGTAAATCGAACTGTTGTGGTCTTGTGTAGCTAAGCAGCAAACTGGTCCAAGCACCTCATCTGGCCCATGGCACTTTCCACATATGTGACTCTTTTCTATGGCTGGTCAGTGTTCATACAGAGAACTCCTCTTAAGCTGCTACAATCCAGCCTAAAATAATCTGTGATGAGTGTATCGTAAAATACCACTGTACTTGTTTGAACCCAGATGCAGGTTGATGTGAAACTGAAAGGAAAACTGAATATAATTTAAGGCAGAAAACAAAAGTTAACCCTTGGCAACTGAATTGTCTGATGTTAACATGTTCTGCTAGTCTTCAGAATGGGGGGAGTGGGTTCCTAATGCATCAATGCCTTCAGACCCTGTTCTGGTCCATTAAACTGTATTAAATTATATCCCTTTTTAGCCATTGAATTATGGACTGGGTAACAAAGGTGGTATTTGAAAATGTGGATCATGCGAGACAACCAGATCTACTCAAGCTACTGAAATTAGACTAACCTTGCAATATGCTCTGGACCTGTAAAACATTTCTAGAAGTTAATGCAGTGGGATTCTGAAGTAGCTTGTATGCTTATTCTGAGGCTTTTCACCTCAAACAAACAAAAGCACAGAACCAAAAAGCAGAGGAGGGTGAGTTGTGGGCTCACTTTAGAGGGGGGGAAAAAAAAAGGGAAAAGATATAGACAAGGAAACTTGGGGAATACTAGTGTTCTAAGATGTTTAGTGATTAACTCATACTATTTTTTTGTTCTAGTAGCTCACTAACAGTGAAGTGCTTTGCCCAATTACTGCAAATTAAAAATCCAGTTAGGCTGGTTCCTACCCAAACTTCACGTACTCCTGTGAAATGCTTTGATTTCAGCTTAGAATATCAGTGTTGTGAATTCAGACTCTTCTCACACAACTCATCCTCTCTAAATCATTCAAAACAACAGCAAAAAGATGTAGTAAATGACTGGCTTAAGCCAAATTTATTTAGAACAGACTGTTGGCAAACTATAGTAAAATGACTAACTGGCTTAGTATTGACTCAGCCTTCTGGCTTACAGAGTATTTTGATCTGGAAATTTGTCTTTTATTGATTCAGATGTTTTTACTAATAAATTAATCTGAAGTCAAATGGAGCATTTGGTATGTAAAACTTAACTCTAATCTGTTTTGCTTTCCAGGCATCTTTTCTTACAAAGAAGCTAAATATTGGTGGAAAAAGAGTAAACCTTGCAATATGGGTATGTTTACTCCCCTATTTTTTCTCCCATAGCTAATCAGAATATTTTTCTGAAAAAAAAAATACTTAGGCTTACTATATCTCAAATGTTAGGCACTTCTTAATAAAGTAAAATTTGTAATTATTATGAGTTCCTTGAAGTATTGTTTGCTTTGTCTTAAATGCTAACAAGTGTATTTTAAATACAGGATACAGCTGGTCAAGAAAGATTTCATGCATTGGGGCCTATCTACTACAGGGATTCCAATGGCGCTATTCTAGTATATGATATAACAGATGAAGACTCTTTTCAAAAGGTACGGGACAGCTTTTTACATCTGTGTGAGATGTAAACTGATTAAAGAGTAATCTGTGATATGTGTAAATGGAAATCCTCTGTTTTCAGCAATATATATTACATTTGCAAATTTAGACCATAGAATGGAAGTATTCTTTTGAAGGCTGACTTTTTCAGTCTACTGATGTTCTAGCAGGGTTATTCAAAGAATACCAGAGAATTAGATATGTGACTTACCTGTGGCAGGCTGTAAACACGAACCAGGGCTGTTTTTATAGTATACTATACTGATCTCTACTGTATAAACCAAATTACTAAAAGATATTAAGTGACATGATTTCTTACAGATCTGAGAACGCTGAAATTGCAATACAACAACATTATGTTCTCTGGGATAATAGATATTTGTACTTCAAATCCTCATCAAAACCTGAAATTTGATAGCTAATTATTTAATAGCATTATTAGTTGATCAGTTTGAGCCGTGAGTTTTTTACAGTCCTGTGTCAAAGCTGCGCTATCACTCTATAGGATGTTCCAGCTGAAAACTAGCGACACTCTTTTTTTAAAGTTTGTCTCTGATTAGATTGTGGCAAAACTCATGGGACTTCTGTGTAGAGAAGTAAGAAATTGTGGTTTTATCAGCAAGGCTTGGGTTAGCAGTGATAGAAATAGTGTAAGGGTGCAGTTCCACAACGGTTGTAACTATTTTAAATAGCCTGGTGTAAGGCACGTAAAGCAGTTGTGCTAGTAGTTAAACACTTGCCCCAACTGGCAGAATTGTGACTTGTGAGTTTACTTCAACTTGTGCCTTTTCATGCTGAGCCCTACTTAGTAAAAACTCTGTGATACAAAAAAACAGGAAAAAAACAGGGAAGGCTGATTTGCAAAAGTTATTGCATAGCTACTACTGTATCATGTAGCCTAACTGTTTCTAGGTTCTTGAAGTGATTGCCTCTCTTCACGATTAAATTCCCTTAAAATAGCACTTCCTAAGTCAGTGCAGTGATCATACAACTTCAAAGAATGACAACAGAATTGATGATAGATACCTTACCATCAGCTGACTCGACACTCTTGTCCCATCCATTCTCTCAGGAAACAAACATCTGTTATAATCTAACCTCAGTTCAGGTGCCTCTACTTTTAAAGTATCATTTGTGATCATAGAATCAGCTGGGTTGGAAGGGACCTCCGAGATCATCAAGTCCAACCCTTGATCCACTACTGCTGCGGTTACTAGACCATGGCACTAAGTGCCACATCCAGTCTCATCTTAAAAATCTCCAGGGATGGAGAATCCACTACTTCCCTGGGCAGCCCATTCCAATGTCTGATTACCCTCTATGTAAAGAAATTCTTTCTAATATCTAACCTAAACCTCCCCTGGCACAACTTAAGACCATGCCCTCTTGTCTTGCTGATAGTTGCCTGGGAAAGGAGACCAACCCCCACCTGGCTACAACCTCCTTTCAGGGAGTTGTAGAGAGTGACGAGGTCTCCCCTGAGCCTCCTCTTCTCCAGGCTGAACAACCCCAGCTCCCTCAGCCTCTCCTCATAGGACTTGTGCTTGAGTCCCTTCACCAGCCTTGTTGCTCTTCTCTGGACCTGCTCCAGCACCTCAATATCCTTCCTGAACTGAAGGGCCCAGAACTGGACACAGTACTCGAGGTGTGGCCTCACCAGTGCTGAGTACAGGGGAAGAATCACTTCCTTGGATCTGTTGGCCACACTGTTCCTGATACAGGCCAGGATGCCGTCTCCTGCTGGATTTCTTTTGGGGGCAAAAGGGTGTGACTCCACCAGTTAATTTCCCTTTCACTTTCCCTAATACTTCTTAGTCATTCACCTGCTCGCATCGCACACAGACCCCACTCACACTGTCCTCTGGTACTAACACCAGGCTCAAACACTCTGCGCAGCCAGAGGCCTGAACAGCTGTGTCTGTCTTGGTGTCCCTCTTAAGGGGTTCCATCTGTGTGGACACACCCTTTGTCTTAACAGCAGCAGCAACAGCTTTTGCTTTTTTGGAAACCATTGCTGGCTTAAGCTGAGTTATGATGGGGAAAGAAAAAAAAAAGCTCCTCCAAGAGATCTGGGAGGTGGCTGGACCCCTCCTGCTTGCCCTGCCTGCATGAACTTCCTCGCTAACTGCAGTTTGCCTGCTCCTGTTCGCTGTGTTCTGGTTGCTGGTGCTCCCAGCAGCCCTTTAAATCCCTCTTGGGTGCTGGGTGCCGCCCCCTAGTCAGCTGATTGGCCTCACCTGAGACCTCCAGCACTGTCAGTAAGTGCCTGTTGATAAAAGATCTCATGCCTGACCTAAAGTGGCCCATGCAGTGAACTTGTTCTTTGGAGTGGGGCTAACACGAGTGTGGTGAGTTATATTTCTGGAGTAATTGAACCATTTTACCCAAGTCAGTTGCTCTTAATTTCACCTGTGAACTAAAAGCTGCTGAACAAGAGACATGTAGCTATATTTTTGCATCCATGTTGCTCTAAACATGTTTGGTTCAAGTTTAGAGTAAATGGTTAATGAAGGAAGTGGGATAGTTCTGCATAGCCTAAGCTAGTAGTATATCCATTGAAAATAAACTTGCCTCTCTTCTTTTTGCAGGTAAAAAACTGGGTTAAGGAATTAAGAAAAATGTTGGGAAATGAAATCTGTTTGTGTATAGTAGGTAAGTCTTTCAACATGTGATTCTAATGACTTAACTGGAAACATCTCTTTGATTAACAGCATCTTCCAAACACTGCTTTGACAGCTTGTACATGTGAAGAGGTAAAGCTTAATTTGATATTTGAAATTGAATTGGAGCTAGAAGTTTCAGTAGATCACATGGAGGAAAATAAGTGTTCAGTTCAAAACAATAAGCTGTTTAATGATGCTGTCAGAAGTGCATGGTACAGACACCTGCAGACTGTAGTTTAATAAAGAGAAACATACCTCAAATGTGTATTATCCTTCTTTCAAATACTCAGACTCGTGGTATTTACTGTTCTCAGTGCCATAGACTAGGTGCTTGTCTGTTTTCATAATCAAGTGCTTGTGGGGTGGAAATAGTCTTAAAGCTTGGATATTTCAATGTAAAGGAATGCAACAGAAATACTGGGTTTAGATTTAAATCTGATCTAATTATTAAAACACTTTCATGAGGTTAGATATAAGGATATCCTATACAAATTATGTCTGCAGCACAGGGAAGCTGCCAGTAAATCAAAGAAGAAAAGCAAAAGGTTGAATTAAGTGGCTTATATGGAGGTATTTAGCTATCCTGATCTCTCTACAGAAGTAGCACTTCATTGTCTCTAAACGCTTGTGTGAAAGGAGATTCTCAAATCATATCATTGATTTGAGACTTAGAAAAGAGCTGGTCTTTACTGGGGCAGCTTGTGAGAAAATTGTGGGGTAAAATGGTTACTTGTCTGGTTTATTTTGGGGTAATTCTGGAGTACAAAGACTTGAATTATTAACTTGTTTCCAACAGGTAACAAAATAGACTTGGAAAAAGAGAGACATGTTTCAGTGCAAGAAGCAGAAATGTAAGTCACACCAATTATTAATGGAAACAGTCATTGCAGAGTTATGCTAGAGTAATAAACTTGTTATGCTGCCCAGCTAGGCACTGCTGGTTTATGCCTGCCACTTGTTAAGTGTTCTGTTATTGTCCGAGTCCCAGTCCCCTTATTGACCAAACTGTAACTTGAGAGTTGTATGTGATTACAGTCAACATTTGTGGTTTAAATGCACTTCTAGTTATGCAGTTTTCCTAATTTCATCTAGTGTGTTGCATCAGTCATGGCAGTTTTAAACACAACTCCTTTTTTTATATAAAATCAGATTAACTCTGAAGTCAGAATAAAATCTCTTGTGATCATCTTACTGCTTCATGTAAAGTGGATTAGGAAGATTGAGTCTTTTTACTACAATGAAGCTCCGTATCTGCATTTCTACAGGTATGCTGAATCTGTTGGAGCAAAACATTATCATACTTCAGCTAAACAGAACAAAGGAATTGAAGAACTGTTTCTTGACCTTTGTAAAAGTAGGTATTATCTAGTTTGTTGGTACAGAGCTCGTTCATAAAATAAATTCAGAAAAGCTTTTAAGGCCATATAAAAAATGCTTGTAAGGCCAGAAAAGTTTTAATGTAAACTACTACGAAGAACTGACTTCATTTGAATCTACTTCAAGCCACTCGTATACTGTAATAGCTCTGGAAGCTTGATGTGTGGATGCTTACAATATTGCAAATTCATGCTGTCATTTGTTGGAGCACCAACTGCTGTTACGTTTACCGTGCGTAAATAGTAACCCAGATCAAACTTCATGTGACTGCCTGCTTCAAGCCCTCTGTTTCAGCCTCTTTCAAAGATCTTCTCAGATGCTGCCAATTACAAATCATAAACTCAAAGCTGTAATGGTGCAAATTTTACACAGCAGTCTAGGCAAATGGTAAAGATGGTATATGGGATAAAAATGTAACAAAGGGAGGTTGGCCTATTAACTGTGTTTCTATGATAGAAGAACTTAAGAAAAACTTATCCCGCATGTCTGAAGAGTTGCTTGGGGTTTGGTTTTTTGTTTTGGAGGGTGGGGGTTTTTGTTTGGTTTTTTTTTTTTATTGGTGGGAGCTTTTGGTTGGTTGGTTGGTTTTTTAACAGAATGTTCTTGATATGGGTGAGTAAACCTAGATTTTGAAGTTGCTAACTCCAGAACATCTGAACGTCATAAGGTCTCCCTTAGTTAACAGGAGCTGCTGGATGTTTGATGCTTTAGAAAGATTTTATTATGTTCTTACAGCTATGCCATGTGATACCTGAGTACTTAGTTCTGCATAGCAAATAGGAGAACCAGTCTTGCTGAACTTTGTGCATGTAACACGGACAGATTAAGATCTCAAAGTCTTGTGTAAAAATGCAGTGGAATGTCATCTAATACATTTCTTTCTTTACAGGAATGATAGAAACTGCTCAAGTGGATGAAAGAGCAAGAGGCAATGGTTCCAGTCAGTCAGGAATGGCAAGGCGAGGTGTACAGATCATTGATGATGAGCCACAAGTACAGAGCACTGGAGGGTGCTGTTCTTCTGGATAATTATAAAACTGTGCATCACTGCCCTCTTGATATGAAGACTGCCATATTCCAAGTCACGCGTTCTTTACCAATGGAGTAATAGAATTAACAGTATTTAAAAATAATCACATGTAACACTGCAGAGACCTTAAGTGCTAAACTAGTGGCATCTGTGACCAGAGAATTGGCATTTTCTACAGTGGTTAACAAAGCAATTACCAATGGCCTTTTTACATATTTTTCTTTAATGAGGAATAATATGCATGTAGAAAAGACCTACTTAAAGGCTTCATTTATATTCTTTTAAATCAGATCATTATTTAATAACTTATATACATTGTTGTTGGAATGGTATACGTTTTTGCAGCTCTTTGTATTTTGTGGTAGATGGAATTGTATCACTTCTAAAATGCAAATTGATTTTTTTTTTTTTTTTAATTACCAAATATATGAAGTAATATTTTTGCAGGGCCTCCACAAGCCTATAACTCAACTACTTTGATATATTCTGTTCATCCTGTATGCCAAGCTGGTAAAATACATTGTAAATTACATATTAAATATTTTATCTGCTTTTACAATTGCAGGTGCAGAAATATGTACATCAGTCTTGTCAGTGATTGTGAAGTGAATAAGTCAGTGAAAGATGCAAGCTTTTCATGTGTACTGTTGAATTGCTCATTCTAGTGCCCCTACCTGAAAACAGCTTTGTTTTGGGTACATCCATAGGTACAGCAATTTTTTAATCCATTTCTGGCAAACAGCAGTATTTAGAGTATCCCCTTATTGGGAAGAGAATGTGTCTTTGGACTGCTGTTTAACATTGAGGTGTTTGACTCCCAACTAAAACAGTTGATGCATGCATATACCTTGCCTCTGCAGTTACTTTGCCCTCTCAGAATACCCCTTGAAAGTCAAAGCAACTTTAGCCCTCATCTGTCTGGTAGCCAGTAAACCAGATGCATGGGAAATTCTTTAGCTGTTTTAATATGTTTGTGTCCCAAGACAGCATTATAAACTATTCGTGAACATCATTTTCCCCCCTGTTTTGCAGGGCTTGAGTGAACAACTTAATTGGCATTAACTAGAATTGTTTCTGATTTGGAGTGATTAAATGGAAGATGTGAAACTTGCCAGATGTAGCTGTAACTTTGGGGATTCTAGGCAGAATTGAACTTATTCCTGACTTACTCTTTCTCCTGTAAAGTGTTTTGAAGCCTACTTAAGTTTTGGGAAGACACTTTTCAGGAAAAAATGTATGAACTACTATCACAAAGAAACACAAGATGGTAGTACCTGAAACTTCAAAATGTTTTGTGCTCTGACTTTTTTTTACTTAAGTTGTCATGCTTGGAGAAACAGTAAAGGTGATGTCTATGACAAAGCAGAATATCCTTGGCCTTCCTTTTCCTGAAAGGTAGAATTAGTATGGCATATGAATGCATTGAATGGTGTGGGTATGTTCTGATACACAAAAAGAGTAGTAGTAGCTAATTAGTCTGTGTAAGAGAAGTGTGCTGTCTTGAATCTGATTTTATTTTCTCTGAAATAATAGATGGCTTTCATACAGACTGATCCTGGTGCATTTTTTTCCCTTTCTGCCTTAACTGTGGTGTAGATGCTTTCTCTTAGACTACCATTGTTGTGCTCTTCTGACATGATTGTATGCATGATGGAGAAAGGTGATATGTTCGTGCTAGTGAAGGTCAAGTTTCTTGGCTGTACAGAGCTTTGATGTAAATCTAAAATTTGTGATTATATGTGTGTATATGTAGCAACACAGTTAACATTCTCATCTAACAACAGTGAACTCTGACAAATTGAAAAACGGGTCAGTTTGATCTAAAATCAGTATCTAACAGTCAAGTCAGTCTTGTAAGTGATAAAATAGTGACATGAGGAGTGAAATTGGCAAAACTCAATGATCAAGACTGGAATCTCGTCATTATAGGAGTTCCATATTTTTCAAATTTAATTTTTTTCAATCTCTGCAAAAAAGCAATCAAACAACCCAACCTCAGCTAGACTTAGTTGAAGCAGTGTATAGAATACATCTTTCTGCCTGTAGCTAAAAGTATTTAGTGTATTCTGTGGTAGGGGTGTTCCATGTGACTTCTGGCAATTACAAAACTAACAAAGATGTGTTGATACTAACTCTTATGTCTCTTACAGAATTAAAACTATTACTGCTGAAAACTTAGGTGGGAGTAAGGAAGCCTACAATTTTGTAATGCTAAAAAGGTTCTGGTTGCTACTAGGAAAATATTTTTTAAAATAAATTCTCAAGTTACTTTTCTTACTTAAGCTACAATATAAGAAATACTCACTGGAAACCTTCTTGTCTAAGCTGCAGTTTGGTTGGACTTCATTTATGAAACTTATCCTGCAAAGCACAGGTTTTATTGTTATATAACCTTACAAAAGTATAGCTTTGCCAAGTCAGGGAAGGTGGTTTCCAAGAGAGAAGTGAAAACATGAATTGTTTATACTGATTAACGTAAGACTTCAGCTATGCCTTGTCAGCAGACAAAATACAACAGCTCCAGGAAAAAGCATTTTTACCAAAGATACTGAGAGTGTTCTTTGCATTTGATATATAGGAAAGCACAAATAGCTTGGGTTTCTATATTTGAGCAGGATCTTACTCAAGTAACCTGCTGTTACTGCTATGTGGTTTGCTTTTTAAGAGTCTTGCATTTGATCTAGATTGCCTGGTTTGTACATCTGAAGGAGAACTGTTTTCTTTTTGCGGACTTCTGTGGCTGAAAGCAAGTAAGCTATTTTTCATTCTTCTGAGAAGAGTGCAAGAGAACAAGGCCGTCTGTCTTTAGAAAGTACTTCTATTGTGGGACAGATAGAACCATCCAAATACCCACTACAGCATATGTAAGTCAACACTGAGCACACTTCCTCAGAGTAAATCTTGATAAAGATTACTCGCATACTCAAATAAAATGGTCTGACTTGCTACAAATACTAGAACAACTTTTAAGGACTTGCTCGCAGTCTTGATGCTGCTGTTATGAGTACTTGAGCTACCTATGAAACTTTATCACTTGCTGAAATAAAATTTAACAAACCAAAGTCCAACCACTTCAATGGAGCGGACACTATATACTGCTCTTAGACCATAGTTCAGAATTTATAAAAGACCTGATAGACTGGTTTAGACAAGGACACTAAAAAATTCAGATGTGTAGTACCTGGAGGTGAGTGTAACTAGCTGTAAAGATTGGGGATGATGACTTCATCTTTTGCATTGACCTTTCACAGGATTCCAAGATGGGGATATCTAATGTCTAAATGAACTGTATTGAATGATCTCTTGAAGCAGTCAAGTAATAGAGTGTTACCTTGATTACATTCTGTTCTTCAGTGTTCCTACATTGCGGACAGGTCTTCTTGCTTCCTACCACATTGAAAAGTATCCCCTAGTCCTTTTTATTCTACTGCTTATATTGTTCAGGTGTTTCAACTACAGCTGTTGAAGAACTTAGTAATTAAATTTCTACTTAAGGTTCCCAACGAGATGAAAAAAGCTTTGCAAAAAGGTACGAGGTTATGGAATGTGGTTGGATCTCAAATGGAGTTCTCTGCAAATGTTAGATGCTGTCAGGAAAAAAAAAACAAACCACACACACTAAATAAATAAATAAATAACCACCCTCACAACACCCCAAACACACACAAAAAAACCCTCAAAATAAAAAAAAAAAAAAGGAAAAACAAACAAACAAACAAAAAAATCCCCCAAAAAGACAAAACCCAAACCTAACAGTTTAAAGAAGGTAAGAGGAATGGGAATCCTTGAGGACAAATGCAGGTCAGGAATCTCCACAAGTAGAGTATGGGAATAAGAGAGTTAGAAGCAGCCTCCTCTTGTTACTTTACTACTTTTGGTGGAAGGAAAAGGAGAAGTAGGAAGAAAAAGGCATATAGGGTGCTGACTGAGGGTGCTGGCAGTAGGCTGCTGAGTAAGGTGCCGAGTTAACCATTTCTTTGAGTTGCTAGCAAGTCTTCTCATCAGTGATAATGCCTAATTCAAGACTTCTAAGGTCACTTCCTAGGTTGTTTTTCCTTCTGTGAAATACTATTTTTGCTTCATTAAAGAGAATAGAACTAACTTTGAACAGGCTTGTAGACACAATACTAACCTACTTAAAACTTAATTAGAATATGCCAATTTATGAACTATTTACAGTTCACTGACTTGGTTAATCTTAGTTTGCATCAAATCATAGGATTTCTTTTTCCTGAGAAGTCAGGAAGTATATCTTGATATGAGGGTAACTTTAGCTACAGTTGCGTCCACGAGTTCCAGATGATGACCATAGTTTTTGGCAGTATTTGCTGTGCAAACTCAACAAGGCCCCAAAGCTAGCTCTTAACTGTGCTGGGCATTTGCTTATGCTATTCTTTGGAGGACTCTGCTCAACACCAGGATTTTCTCTCTATTTAGACAAGCCTGTGTGTCTCAATGATGTAGGTGTCTACTAAATGTAGGCTTTTTCTATCAAATAGCAATGTATACTCTTTGCTCCTGCATTTTTGGAGCTGTCATTTGCCCCTGTATTGAGCAGAATGAGATGGAAATGGTGTTGAGAGTTGTGGAGAATCAGGAATATTTCTTGTAAGATGGCTTGAAAAGTGGGAATCTTTGAAACTTTCACCATTATGACATATTATTCTGTCCAAGAGAACAGAAAATACTTTGGCTTGGAGAAGCTTTTGTTGTAATCTGATTAAACTGTTAAACTGCTCTACTTCCAAAATGAAAACTTATTTCAAGATGATCTCTTGATTCTTAATCTTAAAATTTTAAGACTTAAGTTTACTAAAATTGGCCAAAACATAAAATTGAGTGCAATGTTCTACAGCCATAAAATAATCATTGATTGTAGGGAGGAGCTGGGTGCTCACTCATATTCCACTGGCCAGTTTTGAGCTTTGATTGTGTTTATTCAGTACCAGGATGTTGAATGATAGACTGCAAAAATTGTTTTAATCTACTTCCAATGCTTTATACACTCAGACAAGTAGCATGGACCTAATGCAGCTGCAGGGTGACTGTGAAAAGAGGGCTTCTTGCTTCCTGGTTTTTGCACTGATCCTTGTTGTTAGTGAATTACTACTACAGGAAACTTTGGGTGCTGGGGGTCCCTATGTACAAGAAAGGAAAGACATGTGTTTTCTGCTTGCTTCCCTAGATCTTCTAGACAGTGATAGGTAATACAGCAGTAATACAGTTCCCCTCAGTTTCAGAACATTGGGTTTTTTTCTCAAGAGGAGCTTTTCTTGTATCTTGACAGGTCTGGTTTTTTCAGTGTATCTAGTCTCGCTGATCCCGTCAAGGGGTTTTAATTCTTTGTGCTAGGTTACCCAGAAGATGCGCAATTTGAAGGCGTGACAAGGATGGATGATGAGTAGCAGTATTACAGCAACCTTCCCTGGCAATTGGTCATATCCTGTTCCCAAACCAGTGAAGAGAGAATATTGGAAGTTTAATGTTGAGTCCTTGCTACATCTGTGTCTGACTCCTGGTTCTTGGATAGTGGAAGTCTTGTGTAAGTAATCCAAGTTCAGAGGATTGGAAAGAGCAAGGACTCCTTTCTCCTCTGTTGCCAAATAGTTGCTATTCTGTGACAGATCCAAACTCAGGTAACAGATGTTTTTGAAATGCTGAAACTTAATTTGCAGGCCCTTTTTCAAGTTAGCTATCACTGCATTCTGAAAAATCAACAAATTTGAGACAGTGGAAGAGAACAAGTAATTTCTTTTTCAGAACAGAAAACTTACAACTGCCTAATCAGGCTTGTCATAGTAAAAAGAAGAGGAAAACACATGATACCTAAATCTTTAAGTGCTATCAGTGCTATTTGATCATACAGGCAGTATAATGATTTTTTTACTGGAGTTTTCTCATTAGATAGGCTCATTAAGTCTAGCAGGCTCAATCAATTAGAAAGAAAACTTTAGCAGAGCAAAAACAAACACCGAAAAGGACACAGCATTTTTAATGTCAAGTAACTTGACATTGTCAAATGTAGGAATACGGAAAATTTGAAAAATCATATTAAAAAATAGTATCTGACAGAGGCTTCACAAATCTCAAATTTCCCAGTGCATTGCTCCAGCTAGAGTTCTGAAATAAATCTTGGAATATCCTTCATAGAAGGTAGTCCTGTGATAATTCCAAACGATAAATCGACTACAAAAAACGGAGCTTCTTTATCATGACTGCTAGTCTATCAATGCCTAATGTTAGAAGTGATCAATTCATGCAAATGGATCAATAGAAAGGAGGAAAAAAGGTGTACTGAAAATCAATACAGAAAGAAAACACTGTCACATCTAAAAATTGTTATATCTTACATTTTATTATGTTACAGAATTTGAAACTTGATGACAGTCTGTAATAAAGTCACCCTGAAAGTTACTGGATGTTAGGGCAGTGGCCTAGCTTACAAAGAGATTTGCTAAAAAACTGAGACCACAGGTTTTTTATGTTACAAATACAATATTTCTGAACCCACCTGAGCATGATGTGATGAAAGATGGCATTGAGATGTCAAACC